TTTCCATTTACAAAAGATGTTGCAGGGTTGAATGTTCAAAACATAATATCAAATTTCTAAAAGAAGTATAAAATGAAATTACTACTAACTACTGACGTGCTCAAATGTGACATATGATAACAGAACAATGGAAAGCAAGTTAAGGTCACATTTTCACTTAATAATAAATATTATTCTTTTGTCAGTATTATGTTACCTATACACATACCAATCTCAGTATCCAATTCATTGAATTACAAGTGAATTTCTATTTTCAATGTATTTGTTCAGCTTGTTTTCGACCTGTTCGCACTGTGGTTTATTTGGTGAATTCAAGAACTGAGGCTTTGCATTTCATCATGTAATAGGCTAATCGTAAATTGTATTGCATATACTCGTAGTCCTATTATTATTGAAACAATGGAGTGAACACTCATGTATTATTTTTATCCAGCTAATTCGGTGGGTGATAATGTCGATGTGTACGTCTTTGATACGTGAGTATAATCAATACACTAAGGGAACTTACGTAACTATTGAACTGATTTTAACGTGTACCGCACAAATTGTATTGTATGTATTAATATGAAATCAAACAATGTTGCAGTGACATTACGTAATACACCCAGGTTGACTGACATATTATTCAAGAGTATTTGTATTGCTTTATCAGGGGGATTTATTTGCAACATAAAGACCTCGGAGGAAGGGCGAAGTGGGTGAGTGTTGTCCATTACATGTACGTTTCTTAAGTCATACTCTGCTCATCGGAGATAAAAAGAAGTACAGAATAGTGTGACAGTTTTTTGACTCGTAAGAGTAGGGCTGAGAGTAAATAGCAAAACACAATGAGAAGTATCAACTTGTGTCTCCAGACTGTTGGTGCAAATGCAGAGACATCATTATTTCTTTTGTTGTACGCATACCACATTTGAAATAATATATTATTGCCCATGAAAAGCATCAACTCTAGGAATTATCAATTTATGATCATAGGTGACGACTCGTGAGTTCTTACATTCAAGCACAATATAATGATTTTCTTATTAATTCATGTCTGCTGTCATGTTTTCATATTTAGGGCACTGACACCATCGATTCACCATCCCCCTTAACAGATCAACATGGCCATGGTACACATGCTGCAGGTGAGTCTGAATAGTACATCATAAGTTAAATGTCCTACGTCACTTCCTGCTTCTGCCAATATACGCGACCTAGGGTATACAATTAAACTAAATTTTCGAAGATGCTGCTGTCAAATCCTGAAATCTATTTTTTTAGAACATAATTCAAATATATCATTGTCGATTGATATTCAGTGTGTACATATTTTGTAAGCATTGCGTGTTCTTTCAACAAGGTACTATTGGTGGTGCTATTTTTGGGATTGCAAAGATGGCAAATCTAATTGCAGTAAAGGTATTAAATAGAAGAGGAAAAGGATCGACAAAGTGAGTCCATGTATTTACAATCTATTATGAAACTAATATTCGTTTCAAGATATCGATTGTATTTTTAATAATATTATTAATGCTGTTACACACTATGTTGAAGGTCTATAATTAAGGGTGCAGTATGGGTTGAAGACCAGCATCTTAAAAAGATGTCTAAAATTACTCGAGCTAATGGATCAGTTGCTAAGTAAGTGATTTTTCGTCATCTTACACACAGTAAAAATAATTGATTTTACCATTTATGTGTATATGTGAGATGTGTGGGCAGGTGTATGCCTGTGTTTTATAGTTTATCGTCGGATTTCAAATCACAGTTGTACATTTTTCTTTCAATTGATGTAACATGCACATCAATAACCGTTATATTATTTGAAGACCATGTTAAATATATCAAGCTAAGTAAGTTTTACTTACCTTATTGACCTTATACTTTTGCTGTCGAGGTTTCGTAAAAACATCTGAACCATTTAACCATATATGGTCAAATTCTCTAGACACACTCTTGTCACGTATAGGGGAATGTACAATGCAAAGACCAACTTAAAGTTGAACGAATTGACCACGATCATTTCCATATAATATTAACCAATTGTCTTCAACCTTGGTCACAATTTGTGTGAGAAACCACGCAATATTGGGTTATTTGATGCACTTCCGTCGAAATCGTACTCGATTGACAGCATCAAGCCTTTCAATGGAAATTCGTTTTTACGAGGGTTCATAATTTTTTACTTCTTTTGGTCATGTGACCCGTCTGGACTTTGTCCTCAATTGTAGAAAATTTGGAAATGGAAGGTTTGGAACCCACAACAGCAACCACCTCAGATAGAGCCTCTAATCTCCTAATTTCCAATGAAGGTGTCGAGGAAAAATGGGTTTTAGGAAGGTCACATGAATTTCAATTGCATTGAATTATTCATGAGCAAATGACAAAGCTGGTGTCGTCGTGCATTTGACTCGACTATGAAAGTTTCTCGTGGTATTTTTAATACTTATTCTCCTTAACATTTTGAACAATTGTAATTAAGTTAAAATAATACCTTTTTTTAATTAGAATATGAACTCAATACAAATTTAAATAAACAATAGGCTAGTTTTTGTTTTCAATTATGTTTGAACTTCATGTGTTTTTTTAAATCTAGCTCCAGTCTGCAGACTTCCTTTAAGCTTTTTTTGAAATTATTATTACTTACGTCGAATACTGTGAGGTTATTATGATGATACCGAAAAATATGCTCGAAGACAGTACAGCGGAAGTATCGACCGACGCGCAGCAAACTTTTCGGTATCCTCGTAATAACCTTATTATTATATACTTTTCCTCCCAAGTATACATCATGAGAATGCCGAAATACAAACAGTTTAGAACAGAATGAGCGAACTTCTTTGTATGGGGTCCGGTCAACATCTGGGGGCTGCCATGTTTGTTTTTATTATTACGCTTACGCGCGTAATCGTTCCTTATTTGGAATTCGCATTTCCTAATATGGTAGGATGAAAATACCCAGTGCAATACCGCAAAATTACGGAACGCTGAAGACGCTGTAATTTATGGCGTTACGGTGACAGATGTATAATAATATCCTATATTAAAGAACATTGAACATGACGTGCCAAGCATTACAATAATAATATATTTTAATAACGCATATTTTTCTCACAATTATAGCATGTCCATTGGTGTAAGACGTTCGCATTCTGTGAACCGAGCTGTAGAAAGTCTGATTGGCAGCGTGAGTTTCTTAGATAGATAGATAGATAAATAGATAAAAGAGTTGAATTTTCGGGAAATGTCAGACTTCCATACTTCCATATGTTACGTATTATGATAAACAATACATGTATAGAGATTATAGACTGTTTAGATATTCAAGTATCGTTGACTCGTATAGTGACCATGTCAATAATAAAAGTCCGTCATTTGGATTTTATTTTATTTTATGTTTGCTTACGTTCTTACTGGATTACCTATACTATTGAACGTAGTGGGTATTCGCTCGTCTCGTCTAGAGTGTTGTACATGACACGTAAAAAAAACACGGCAACTGTGTCGTAAAGACGAGTCGACTCTATACGTACTGTGACTGGGTTCGCCATAAGACGCCGTAGCATCTTCTAACCAGAATAATCACTCACCGAATGATTTGCATTAACCAATTTCTATCTTTTCGTCGTAGGGCGTAACAACGGTTGTGGCAGCAGGCAATGAATTCGACGATGCTTGTAAACTATCACCAGCTAGCGTTAAAACAGCGTATGTATGTCTAACAGTATATTCAACAATTAGTGCCTGTCAGATAGAAAAAAACAGACAAGCTTTTAAAAATGCATTTATAAACAACCAAATTAAATTGTATTGTTTTTTTAATTAAACAATACGGGAGTTGCATCGCTATGCAGTCCGGTTGTGTCTAAACATTTTAATTGACAGATTAATAATTTTACGTCTGTGTCGTGTTGTTCATAAATAATGCGTAAATACTTAATAGAGGCATATAGTTGTGATATGTTTATATATGTATAATGTAAGTTACATATACATTGATACATGTATCTTTCTACTCGTGAACTTCTGGACAAAAGAATATATTTGATTCTTGTTTTCTATTTTGATTAACGAATTTAAAATAATATCAAATTGGTATAGCCATATTTATTACAAATATCAACATATTGTTGCAGTCCTTAGGAGACTTAATTTAACAGTAATTGTAATTATATTATATATTATATGCAAATTATCGTCATCATTATACGATGACCAAACACTGCTATCTATAATTGTATGGCGGACAAATTGTGTTATCTACGATTGGATGACGGTTAATCTAACTGATCATCATTGGTTGACAATCAAACTCCACTATTATGTGATTGGATGACGGCAAATTTTCGGGGACCAATGTTTGTTTACACGAATTGGAACACATGCATTGCGACAATTGTAGCATTTCAAATATGCTTTATCCTCGGGGGCGGACATCCGGGCATTTTCTACCGCCTGGCAACCCTCGCGGTGAAAACAAAGACAAAAAACTCGCAGAAAACGGTACTTTGCAATGGTTGTTGAGAGTCCCCTGAACAGTGTTACAAGATTAGCTCTACGTGTGTAACATATATGAATTTGGTTGTTCGGGATTACTTCAAAGTTGAGTTTGTGTTGTTTTCTCGAGTTTTCACCGGCTCGACCGGCGTTCCACAGCAGCGCGCACAAAGCCCATAGAAATACGTGGTACAGTGGTGCGCGTCTTAGCAACGTAGAACGTCCGTGACGTAGCTCCGCCCCCGAGGATAAATACTTTTATAGAATTGAGCACCCACAAAAGCATTATTTGCGACATATTAAACGTCGTCGCATCGCTTCTTGATCGACACGAGTCCCACGCGAAGTATACAACGTTATTCGCTTTAGTTGGGCATACATATCATACAAATTATTATAAAATAATATTGTATGTGGTGCATAGGATAATGTGGGTTTTAGATTAATTTAACGCTAATAACGCTATACGTCGGCGTTGAGGACGTTTGAATTAGATTCGTATAACGGATATTTTTTTCTGATTGCAGGATAACAGTTGGCTGCACTACGTCTTCCGATCGGTTCTGTGTTTACAGCAACGTCGGCAAATGCGTGAATATCCTTGCACCGGTATATTGAGACTTTCTACTTTTCTCGGTGAACATTTCGCAGCTTATAGCGGCAAAATACTTGAAAAGTAGTCGAAAAGCAAAATATATGTTAATAAATAAATTGCAATTCCATTGTGCATACTGCATTCAATGGGTGTGTTGCGTTCAGGCAGCTATTTCTCTAAAAATATTCGTCCAACCAAATAGCGCGTCTTAAGTTGTAAGAAACAGTTTATAACACGACATTTGATTGGTTACATTATTTGGACTGTTTAGTCATTTACACACCGAGAGATGAGCAAAGCCTCTACCGTGTTAAGACGTCGAATTCATCTCTTCACTATTTTCCCCTTCAGGGTCAAGGCATTGCGTCATGCGGAATACGTGGTCCAGTTTCAGTCACCACTAAATCTGGTAAGAGACATCCTTGTATCACAATGTGTTGATGTTTCTGAACAAAATAACGCATCAATAAATCGTTTATTAGATTCTTAATAAACTTATATTGTTGTATGTTGCTGAATGTATCTCTAAAGTAAAAGGGGTTCAAGATCTCTCCGCTAAGCGAATAATTCTTTTATCTGGACAATCGGTAATTTTCGGATGGTTTCGGTATATGCGACGCATGACGTCATATATGTGCAGGGCTTCACATGCATTGTACTCCTAAGCGATAGTATAAAATTAAGACAGTGGATAATTTGATTGATGTTTTAATTGTGTGATTTTTGTCTTCTAGGAACGTCATTCTCAGTAGCACACGTGGTAAGTAAAACATAAAGAATCGTATTCTTGGGATTTGTTTGTTTGTTTGTTTGTTTATAAAAGCTGGGATGTATGTGAAAGGCTAGTATCAATGGCTTAGGACTTTTTGTATCTACTTACCACATAACCACATAACATAACCCACATAACCTACGAAACTACTTCCCGTAATATGGCCTATTCAAATATGGTGGCGCAAAACAGAACACATGAGAAAAGCAACAGTTAGAAATTAACATTGACCAACATGTCAATTCTGCGTTCGGTTTATTTTTTCAGACCGGGGTGGTAGCCAAGTACATCAGCTCGCTGAACTCACTACCAACGCCAGCTGAGGTGAAAAAGTGGATAGAAAAGAAGTAAGTTTAGACTCTGGCATTATTTATTATTGTCAATATTTTCTCTCTACAACGCTGTGGTAAGTTGTGACCGTGACGCACTCATTTTAAAATTTCATTTTGAAGTTTTAAATTTATAAAGTTAACAAACTTATTTTGTCGCGATGTCGACAAGGACGTAGTTACTCACACCGACCTTATCAGGCCTAACATTTAGAGGAATCACCCAATGTGCGATGTTATGTAATATGTTGATATATTGACGATTTCATAATATTTTGCAAATATGCAAAGTTTTTCATATGACATCATAAATGTAAAGATCTGATATTCAAATTTGTGGTGGGGTAGTTTCCAGGAAAACCACGCTTAGTCACACCTTATGGAGCTAAGAAATTAAATATCTGCTAACATGAAATTTAATTGTAGATAATTATTTTTTTAATTCGATAATTAGTCATTAAACAATTAATATTTTGACATAAACCTCACCTAATGGTTTGGCATTTAAATATTTTTAAGACTGGTTGTCTGTATTTCAAATGGGCATGTTGCCATGGAAACAAAACATACCCAATAAGGCGGCCGTGTTTATTTAGATATTCCATCTTTTCGTGTACCAGGAAGCATTGCGATAATCCATGTCCAATGTGTGTTTTTTTTCGATTGGTAGTCACAGTCGACTACGTTTGCTGTAGACTGTGAGTTCATTATATCATGTTTAAATTATGTTATTGTCGTTACAGCGCCACCAAGAACATGATTGCCAAAGTACCTAAAGGAACTCCTAACAAACTGGTGTTCATGGAATGTTACTAAGTGACGGACTCCTCTCAGAGAGAACGTGTTATTATTATTGACGGTCACTTCTTAGACCTGTTTTCATTATTTGTTTCATTTATCTCAGTATTTACCTGTATCTTTTACAAAATGAATTGAATTATATTCTTAGCTGGCTCATAATATATAGTGACTTGTTTTAGTATTACGCGCATCTCTACTGCGCACTTGACGACAAGTTATGCTGCCCTCTAGCAGCGAATTTCTTGAAAGATTAGTATATTCTAGATGAAAAACGTCTACACCTCTAATACAGTTGTTGATTGACGACATTACCTTAACCTGTTGTTCACCACCAGTTCTTTTCATCACAAATTCACAAAATACTCGCGTTTATAGTCTACACCTTCTTCCATCAAAACATTTGGACAAAAATAGCCATTTTTTTTAGGGTTCATTTCCAAAAATTATTGAAGATTATAAGAAAAAAGTGCTGAAAAATTTGAGCGTGAAAGTCTGGTGGTGAAAGGGTTAATAATATGAGGTTATTACCGTGACGAGGATACCGAAAAGTATGCACGAAGACTGTAAAGCGGGAGTATCGACTGACGCGCAACGGAGGTCCATGCGACGGCGTACTCAGGCTGCCAGAAAAATGCCAAAATCTAAAAAGTTTAGAACAGCATCAGCGAACTTCTTTGTGTAGAGTCCGATCAAACTCTGGTGGCAGCCATGTTTGTTTTTATTATTAGAAGACGCTCACACGCGTAATCATTAAATGTTTGTAATTCCTATATCCTTATATGGTAGGGTGAAAACACCCCGTAAAATACCGTGAAATTACGACACGCTGTAACTCATGGCGTTACGGTGACAGATGTATAATAATAAATAATACTAATAATTCTTATATAGCGCATATAGCGATAGTTTCAAAGCGCTTTACTGAATCAACCAGGAACAAGGAGGAAAAACAAATAGATAATGTTTTTAGTTGTGACTTAAAAATAAATAGAGCTGTAATAGACTGGGTGGCTGTGGGAATTCATAGTATTTAGTTCTTGAACAGGATCCTCGGCTTAAAAAGAGTTGATTAGAAAAGCGAGATGTATATAAGATAATGGGATCAGTAATACAAGCCTAATACAAGCAGGGAAAATGTTGTTATAGGCATGAAATGTTAGCAGTATAGTATCTGTATTTTGTATATACAATCCGTTTATGGAAGTGTTCAATGTAGGTGGTGTAATATTTTAGTTATGGCGTGTTCTGGGTACGTTGTAGAAGTTCAAGCTGGGATGACGGTAACCCGTATAGAAATGAGTTAGTTAATGAAATAGTATAAATGAGATGTAACAGTTGATTTCTGGTCCAGATAATTGTGGATTTTTCCAATTTTGCAAAAGTTAGCTGACTTGCAAATGTTTTTGACGTGCGTGTTTAATTGCACACTGTTGTCAATAATGACTCCAAGATCTTTGACAACTTCAGGCTAAGACATAGAGATGTCAGTGCGATCTGTATAGATGGTTGATGTGGTATTTGGAGCTCACATGCTCAAATTACTTTTGTTATGGCATCGTTAGTCATAAATTTGTTTATGACAGTCCATGTACGGATATCTGGGATGTATTCCTCCAGTTGTGTATTATCTTCACTCAGAGGTTCAGTGTATATAATGACAGCTTCTTCCCAAGGAAGCGAGAAAGCGTCAGAAGCACATTTTCAACTTGTTTGTAGTTCTGCACATAGGGTTTATTCACTGCAGAGACGTTCCACTGATTTCTTATCTATTGCGCAGTCGTAGTACAGAATGTCATGGTCGATAGTGTCGAATTTTGACTGTGACGTCACAGAAACGTTCCGGCATTAGGTATTTAGAGATATTTATAGGAAAAGAGTACTAGTATTATATATTAGTAATTGTGACGATAGCCAGTTTGAAATACTGATGGCGCTGTAAACAAAAAGATGGCTTGAATCCAGTGACCATATACACGTTAGTAGTTTAGAGTTATGATTTAATTCAGGGTGTTTAAACACGCGTCGTGTTTGTGGGTCCCATGCGACATTTGTTTGCAGGAAATTCGACGTACTACATGGCTGCATATGGATATTTTTATGTTTTGCGCAATGAATTGTAATTTATTTTGTTTCTAATTCTTAATCATTTCCCTGGCATTCACTTTGACGAAGACTATATCAGGGATGCCCACTGTTTACGTAGGTTGACAACAGGCCTAGGGACAGTATACGAGACAACATATACATGTAGTACGCTGCGAGCCTCACTACTGATGGGGGGGGGGGGGTCGGAAACATAGTCAACAATCTCCCAGTTGCTAGGCAGACATGCTAACCATTATGTCATCATTATGTACCAGTTATTCAGTGTTCAAGTCATTCTGATTTCGATATTTATTATCATGCTTTATGTATGCGCGAACAACACTTTTTAGTTTTCGATAAACCATACCCAGCGCATATCATCATTTTGTTTTAAACATACACATGTTTTATTTTTCTGTACGGTACATCCCATCTTCACGAGTGTGTAATGAGCTTATCCCTAATGTGTATTACAGTTAAGACGTTTGAATTTTCCCGTTGTCATGGACTCTGATACATTTCCCTCATTTTTCATTTCCCATAAATAAATTAATTCGTTATACAACGCCCTCTATCAATTACAACAATATACGATTCGTTGGACCAACCTCTCGAATGCTGGAATAGGAGTTTACGTCAAGGCGGATTAGTATTTCTGTTGCAGAAATTGGTACATTGCCAGTCAAAGGAATTTAATTGATATTCCTCAGAATATTTTGTGCTTTTTTTAACGATTTACAATTATTATTATGTTATTTCTCTCGTTGGAAATGTCTGACAGATAGAGGAAGTTAACTGGTTGATAGTATATACGAGTTAAAAACAACATGACCGATTTAAACCTTGTGGTGAATTCCATTGCTGTATTACGTATTTTCTACAATATGTCGATAGAGGGCCTCGAGGGGGCTGCAGCTAAATGTTGGCACATGATGCAACAGCATAGTTTCGATATGTTATATTTATTTGTGACGCAGTAAGTTCACGTGATAGAGTACGTTCTATGTAACGTGAACGATGAATAGTGTGAGAAACCTGCATAACACCTACCCAGCCACACCAACTCATGATTAATGATCGGTGAGGGCGCATCAACTCGCGCCAACCATCCCTCCAGCGGCCAATTATAAATACAGCGCAAATGTGTGACAAAAGACGACCAGTTAATAATAATACTTTGTCACCTCGTATAAGCAGATAATGTGAATACAAGCTAATAGGGGAACGAGTATTATAGAACGCCGTATTTCCAAACACTTCCGCCTTACATCCACATCCACCCCCTGGCGTGGTGCGATTGGGGTAATAGAAACACTGTACTACAATTTCCAAACACTTCCGCCTTACATCCACATCCATCCCCTGGCGTGGTGCGATTGGGGTAATAGAAACACTGTACTACCATTTCACAACACTTATGCATTTAAGTTGATGTCTGTTTATTTTCTCCTTCTGCCAATGCCACCAAGAAAACAGATTGACAATTTTCGTACATAATTTCAGAATGGACAAGCGTAATATTTGAACACAATTGCCAGGCGTTCAGACCGTAAAAGCAACAGAAATCCATACACATCGGCAACAACACGGGAAACATATACCATTCACACAACCAATATCCGCGATGAATAGTTGTGCATTCGCAGAAAATAAATATACTTTCACGGGCTTTAAATATTGTATTTCGATACACATATGTGAAGTAAGTACCATGTAAGCTCAGGTGAAGTGTAACAATTATACAAATCAACGCTGTTGTTACACTGCACAAATGTATAACAAACAGATTGATGCATGGCAATTCACCTTCCAAGTTACCCGGAAATCAGGTACGTTATAATTATCAGTACATTATTGTATGATGCATTGCTTAGCCGTAGTTGTTCAAGTTGGCTCGTGACGTCATTTCTGGTCATTTGACAATTTTGACGGTCTTTCTATAAGCACGACTCGTTTCCATCCGGGGTCTGTGCGTATGGTTTTTTTTTTCAAGATCACTCACAGGTTATATTCAAAACATATGTTAATACATTTACTCTAATACTTCCCATTGTCCGTCCATAGAACTTTGCAGGTTCTTTATTGTATCCCAATTATATGTATTTTAAAAGAAACTACTCGGAATACATCGTTTACATTACACATATTCGTTTAAATTAACGAGAACGTGCAGTCTTTTCTCACTATCCATCCAACTGATTCGATCCCGCGTGTTTCAAAATAACAAAAAATATATATAAAAAAAATATATAGGTTTCTGAAATATGGTTATTGTTTTTGTCTCGCACATTGTATTTGTGAGTAATAATAATAATACACCGTCCAAGCAGTGACTAGTTACAACGCCAATTCCCACCACAACCAATATCGCGTCAAACATATCAGGCCGTTATTGTTATCAATGGTTTACAAATTCAAGGCCATCAGCCCATAAAAGTATTTACATGTACAAGTAGAATATTCGAAAAATAAAAACACTTTACATGTACAAGAAGATACTTAAATAAAATCACATATCTCGTTCCCAAGTTTCAATGCATGAAAGATGTATGTAGCCAGTGGTTGTAAAATGTCAGAATTTTGAGAACTTGAAGTAACAAGTTCTATAAATTTATCAAAAGACTGGGTATTATAAAATGTATTGGGTAAGTACGAGGTTCGCAATTCATGGTAATATGGGCAAACACGGAGAAAGTGAAACTCATTTTCAATTTCATCTATGTCACAAAGAGGGCAAATACGTTCGTCTCTCTCAATTACACCACGATCTCTTTCAATGCGAAGGCAGTGTCAAATATATCAGACCACACTGTTTGTTTGTGAAATGTATTTACTAAAACAAGCCAGCCTTGAAACAAGAACTGATTTCAATGTTATATATATAAGTTATATGCATAAGTTATATGCCTATGACATCGAAACATTGGAGTGAAAATACAGTTATAAAAGTATACAAAATAAAGATAATTATGAAAAATATAAATATACATGAATTTAAAGTAGCGGAAAAATACATTTGGATAGTAGCATAAAACAAAACACTAAGTTGCTTTTACTTTAAGTATCCAGTCAAATTGGGT